CTCAGGGTCCTGCCCCTTCAGGTGTGTCCCAGGTAGACGCAGTCGAGCCTGTCGAGGTCACTGGTGACTCTGGTGCTGCTGAGGGTGCTGCCGCTGGGGGTGCTGCGCCTGGGGGTGCTGCGTCTTGGGGGTGCTGAGCCTGGGGGTGCTACGCCTGGGGGTGCTGAGCCTAGGGGTGCTACGCGTGGGGGTGCTGAGTGTGAAGGTGCTCCGCCGGGAGGTTCTCCAGGTGCTTCGTCTCGCCGGGAGGAACTCTCTCCACAGGAGCTGCGCGAGTGGTTTGCCCGGCGCTGGCATCGTACTGCTGGTGCTGGAGGTTCTTCGACTGCTGAGGGTGCTGCGGTCGCGGGTCCCAGAGGTGCTCGTACTGGGAGTGCTGGAGCTGCTGGGCCTGCGGGTTCTCCTCGAGCTGGTGCTGCTGAGGGTGTTGGCGCTGAGACTACCACTGGCGGTCTTGCTGGGGGTGCTCCTTGTGCTGCTGGAGGTTCTGGAGCTACTGGAGGTGCTGCTGGAGCGGGTGCTCCTGCTGAGGGTGCTGGTGCTGTCCCTGCTGCTTCCGGCGTCGCCACACAGCCTCGGCCGTACTTTGTTCCACTCCTGCAGCAGGTTCTTGGTCTTCCACCTTCTACTAGTCCTCCTCCTCCCTTAGAGTGTCCACAGCATGTCCCGTTACAGTTACAGTTGCAGCCTACCTCCGCTTTGCCTGCTCCTTCTCCATACACTGGTCCTACTGGATGTCTTGCTGAGCGTCGTGAGCCTGCGTCCCGCCCTGCGTCGCCTGTTCGTGCTGCTCGCACTAGTGGTCGCGGTTCGCGTCAGCGTCCTCCTCCTGTCCCTGGCACGCACCAGATTTCTGTGCGTTCGTCCACTGCTCCTCTGCGTTCCCCTTTGCCTTCTCCTCCTAAGTCCTCTCTTCCTGCTCTTGCTGACCCGGAGTCAGACTCTCTTCGTGCTGCCAGTCCTACAGTCACGCGTCTCCTTGCTACTATCGTCACTGACCCTTCTTTTGAGTCTACTGCTGCGTGTGCTCTAGTTGCTGAGCTCGTCGACTTTGCTGCTCGCTGTCGCCTAGACTACGCTGCTAGTCTTGTCGCTGAGTCTGAGTCTGTCTGTCCTCCGTCCGTTGGGGGTGAGTGTGCCCTTGGCACGGACGTCCTTGAGGACAGGCAGGAGGAGTTCCAGTGTCTGGCAGCTGCTTCACCTCATCTCGTGTCCGTACTACTTACCCCTAAGGGAGACCCGGATGCACTTGACATCCCGACTCCGCGCTCTTACGCGGAGGCGATAGAGGGTCCCTACTCCTCTCAGTGGCAGGCAGCTATGGATGCAGAGATGGCTTCCTGGAAGTCCAGAGGCACCTACGTTGACGCTGTCCCCCCTCCTGGGGCAAACATCGTCAGTGGCATGTGGATCTTCAGGGTGAAGCGGCCGCCGGGTTCTCCGCCTGTCTTCAAGGCGCGTTACGTGGCTCGTGGCTTCAGTCAGCGGCAGAGAGTTGACTACTTTCAGACCTTCTCCCCCACCCCAAAGATTACCACTCTTCGGGTACTGCTGCACGTTGCTGCTCACCGTGACTACGAGCTGCACTCTCTTGACTTCAGCACAGCTTTCTTGCAGGGCAGCCTGCACGAGGAGATCTGGCTGCGCCGCCCACTTGGCTTCAATGGGTCTTTCCCTCTTGGTACCCAGTGGAGTCTCTGGCGTCCAGTCTACGGTCTCTGCCAGGCGCCATGTGAGTGGCACGACACACTGAGGACTACGCTTGCGGCTTTTGGGTTTGCTCCTTCTACTGCTGACCCGTCGCTGTTTCTGCGCACGGACACCTTTTTGCCGCCGTTCTACATCCTCGTGTACGTCGACGACTTGGTCTTTGCCACAGCTGACACTGCTGGACTCGCCCATGTGAAGTCCGAACTGCAGAAGAGACACACGTGCACTGACATGGGTGAACTGCGCAGCTACCTTGGCTTTAGTTCACTCAGGACAGAGCACGCGGCACCATTACCCTGACTCAGTCACACATGGTGCAGCAGGTCCTTCAGCGCTTCGGCTTCACGTACTCCTCGCCTCAGGCCACTCCTCTGCCTACTCGCCACTCACTCTCAGCTCTGCCTTCGGATGAGTCCGTAGAGTCGAGTGGCCCGTTTGCAGAGCTTGTTGGCTGCCTCATGTACCTGATGACCTGCACACGACCTGACCTTGCATACCCTCTTAGCATTCTTGCCCGCTATGTTGCTCCTGGGAGACACCGACTAGAGCACATGGCTGCAGCGAAGAGGGTGTTGCGCTACTTGTGCAGTTCGTCGGGCATGGGGCTAGTGCTTGGAGGGCGGAGTCCAGTGGTCCTCACTGGGCACGCGGACGCTTCTTGGGCTGACGACCAGGCTACGCAGCGGTCGTCACAGGTTTACACCTTCAGCCTTGGTTCCGGCTCTGTTTTGTGGCGGGCTACTCGCTCGTCTTCTGTTCTCGGCTCCAATTGTGAGGCTGAGATCTACGCCGGGGCCATGGCTGCACAGGAGCTTCGCTGGCTCACCTACCTGCTGACTGACCTTGGAGAGCCGCCTCGTTCTCCTCCAGTCCTGTACGTAGACAACAAGGCCATGCTGGCCTTGTGTCGAGAGCAGAGACTGGAGCACAGAACAAAGCACATTGCTCTTCGCTACTTCCTTGCTCGTGAGCTTCAGCAGCGTGGAAAGCTGCGACTTGCGTACGTGGCCTCTGAGGCCAACACTGCTGATGTCTTCACCAAGGCACTTCCGCCTTGTGATCATCAGCGTTTCTGCACTCAGCTGGGTCTTGTACCTGTCTTGCCTGACTTGCTCACCTCTTGACCTTGCTTGTACTGTCACATATATATATACCTGCTCTTGCTTGTCTAGCTTTATATATATGTGTACTCTTGCATGTGAACTGGCCTTGTGGCCTTGACCTTGTGCTCGGACTGTGTGGTGACTTTGTGATCCACCCTGAGCTTGCTTTGCTTTGCTTTGCTTGACTGGTCTTGTGACCCCTTGTTCTCCCCCACTTTGCCTATGGGGGTGTGTCAGAATGCTATATAGCTTGTACATTTGTGTAGGCTATAGTGGGGTATCCCATAGGGGGTACAACCCAATTAGGGTTGGTACTTGTACTCACTCATTTCATAGTTCATTCATTCTCGTTCTACTTTCCTCAGCTAGAGCACTAGGGTAAGGGCAGCGCAGTGGTAGAGGTGCCGCTCTTACCGGATAGGGCGCTCGGGCGGCTCGGCGGCTCGGCAGCAACTGCAGCTCGGCGGCTCGGCGACTCGGCGGCTCGGACGGCTCAGGTGGCTCGGCGGCTCGGGCGGCTCGGGTGGCTCGGCAGCAGCGGCGGCTCGGCGGCTCGGACGGCTCGGGTGGCTCGGGCGGCTCGGCAGCAGCGGCGGCTCGGCAGATCGGCGGCTCGGCGGCATAGCGGCCATGGCGGCTCAGCGGCGCCGGCGGCTCGGTGGTGACGGCGGGGCCGCGTAGGGTCGCAGGGCCGCTGAAGGGAGGACGGGGGGGCCGGGTGGGGCGGCGACGAGGCCGCTGAGGGCGGCGGCGGGGTCACGAAGGGTGGCGACCGGCGCCTTAAGGGTGGGGCCGCGTGGTCGCAAGGGTGGGGCGACGGGGCCAGCAGAGGCGGCGCCGGGGCCGGAAGAGCGGCGCCGGGGCCGCAAGGGTAGGCGACGGGGCCGTGAGGGCGGCGTGGAGGGGTCGCTAGGGCGGCTCGAAGAGGCCGCGAGGGCGGCGCGAAAGGGCCGCGAGGGCGGCGCGACGCGACGGGGCCGCGAGGGCGGCAGAACGGGGCCGCGTGGGCGGCGCGATGAGGCCGCGAGGGCAGCGCGAAGTGATGGGGCCGCGAGGGCGGCGCGACGGGGTCGCAAGGGCGACTCGACGGGGCCGCTAGGGAGGCGCGACGCGACGGGGTCGTAAGGGGGGAGCGCGACTCGGGCAGAGGCTGAGCGTGCTCAGGGCAGGAAAAAAAAAACTGGTGGGCCCTAGGAACAGTTCCCACAGGGGAACCTGCTCTATACCATGTGAAATTGAATGAAAATGATTGAACTGAGCAGCATGAGAAGTACAAGTACCAAACCCTAAAGTGTTGTACCCCATATAAGCTACCACACTATAGCCTACACAGACTATAGTATATGAGTTTGACAAAAAAAACTAAAACTCATAGAGTCCCTTGATGCATTTTCGGGATGGATCAACCCTAAAAACGGAAAACTTTTGGTATTTAGGGTTGATGTCTCCCGAGTCGCATCCGTTTCCGAATGGGTAATATATTATGTTATTGTGCATTTACGATCGGTTAGGTGATATGTATCACCCAGAATATAATATGTTATACGTACTCACGATTTGACACGCCTAATTTTACTTCCAGAAGAAGGCGACGCGCGCGCTGTAGTAGACGGAGGTCAAAACCCTAAACAAATAAAATGAGTACACAATTCGGCTCGTCTAGAAAATCCCTTTTACTCACGGTTCGGCTTGTTCGCCTAGTCGTTTGGGCAGCTCTGGGTTGAAATCTTACGGTCTAGATTTACCGGCCCTACTTCGATCACCCCTCCGGCACTGTTCGGCCCCTGGTTGATCTTTTCCCAATGAACTACCCTCCAGGTTCGAAACCACAGCCCCACATTGAGCAGCGATGAGTGGAATTCCACAACCCTGAGCTTCACTGTCAGACACACGCGAGAGAGGGTAACGATTGAGGTGGAAGTGGAAGCAGAGAGCAGAGAGCAGGGAGCAGAGTAGAGAGCAGAGAGCAGGGAGCAGAGTAGAGAGCAGAGAGCAGGGAGCAGTGTAGAGAGCAGAGAGCAGGGAGCAGTTGACGCACGCAGAGGGACCCACACAGACAGCGCCAAGACCGAAGCCACCATTTTCAACAGCCGCAGGTTTAGAATTTTGGCGATTTTAGAATATAGGCAGGAGCGCACTCTCCCACTCTAGTCTTATCTCCTAAAAAAGTCTGAAAGCCGAGTCATCATGACGAGTTTGCACATCAACAACCTTCCCGACGAGCTCCTCGTTGCGATTTTCTGGCCCTCCAAGCGTCTCTTCTCCCGCCAGTCCCACGATGACGCCGTGTGGGCGTCCGTGTGGCCAACCCCGCGGATTATTCGCGAAAATGCTGACGAGTCGTCGTATCAACAGAGCGAACCCTTGTTTCCAAACCCAAATTTCCCCCCAGCTTTCGCCGACGCCGCTTATAACCTCCTCGTCGCGTCAGTGTGCCGTCGCTGGCGTCGCCTGGCTGAGCGCCACGTCACGACGCTTCTCGTCAAGGAAAGACGCGACGTCTCTTGCAAGGATCTCTCCGCCGCTCTCAACCGCTTCCCAAACCTCACACACCTTCACCTAAACGACTCTAGCCTGGAGACCATCGACGACGCCTTTCTCGCTCGCGTCGCCGCATCGTGCCCTAATCTGACTGCTTTCCACCTGGGGGGAGGGATCGAGCAGAACGTGGATGAGGAGGAGGAGGAGGAGGGCCAGAGGTTGCTGACCAGAGCTGGCTTGGACGTTTTCTTCCGCCGGTGCACGCGGCTGGAGCATCTATCTTTGGGCTGCCTCTCCAGTTGTCTCGTGCTCCCACCTCCCTTCTATCAGCTCGCGCACCTCCGCTCGCTCGCGATCGCCGATCGGTCGGCGTTGTCGGCTCCCGGACTCAAGAATCTATCTTCTCTCACCGCTCTCTCCCTCAACGCGGCGATCTGGTTCCAGGATCTGCATATCCTTGCTTCGTTCCCAAGCCTCACCCATCTCTCCTTGTCGGAAAGGATCTCTCAGTTTCAACCAAGGCCGCTGCCTTCTCGTCCCTTCTCGTTCGCGCATCTGCCGTCGCTCAAGTCGCTGAACCTGGGTGACAGCTGTCCGCCGTTCGACGTCATGTTTCCCTCAGAATCGCCCTGCAGCCTGCTCGAACGCCTCACGCTCGACCGCTGCCATGAGCTCGCCGCTCTCCCACACGACTTGGAGGACCGCCTGCCGTGTCTCCGCGAGCTGACCATCAGCGGGTGCAGGTCGTTCCTCGAGCAACCAGAGCAGCTCACCTCCCTGACGAGTCTGCGCAGCCTGAAGCTCTCCGACTGCAGTTTGGTCGGCCTGCCTCATGATTTTGGGGAGCTCTCCGTGCTGAAGACGCTCGTGCTGCACAAGCTGAATGTCGACCTCCCTGCCTCGTGCAGCCGGCTTAAATCTTTAGAGACGCTGCTAGTTACAGTCTGCCCACACCTACGCGAGTTACCAGAGGGGTTCGGCGCTCTCACTGCGCTCAAATCCCTAGGCCTTGCCGGCTCACCTTCTGTGATCCTTCCTGATGACATTGGAGAGCTCACCAACCTGCAGACTCTCTTCCTGAAGTCGTACCAGCAGCATCATCTGCGTCCCTCCTCTTTCACCCACCTAGCGTCACTGACAAGGCTTGAGCTGCAGGATTGCGCGTTGACAGAGCTCCCAGAGGCGATGGGGGAGCTGAGAAGCCTGCGGGAGCTCTACATCCAAGCCTGCTCGCACCTCCAGAAGCTCCCAGACTCCGTTTCAGCCCTCCTGGGCCTCGAAATTCTCGAGGTTGACAACTGCAGCAGCCTTTTCTCGGTGCCTAGGAGTTTTGTGAACCTGACGAGGCTGAAGGAGTTGGAGCTGACCGGCTGTGGGTTGCTGAGAAAGGCTCCCGAGTTCTTGCCCGGGTCGCTAGAAGCTCTCAGCGTGGCGAGTTTACATCATGTCACCCGTCTGCCAGGTGCCTACAGTCTTCCGTGCTTGAAGAAACTGAGCCTGTACATGGTGATTTTCCCTGCTGCACTCTCCAGCAGCCTTTCCTCTCTGGAGCAGTTGAAGCTGTACCTGGCTTGGGAGGAGGAGTTCCCGTTTCCATTAACGGCTATTCCTCACCTCTGCACCCTGTCAATCTTAAGCACTGGAGTCATGAAGCTTCCTGATTTTTCCGGCTCGTCATTGCAAGAGTTGCGTCAACTAGCAATACTCTTGCCGAATTTGACCGAAATCCCACCGACTATCGCAGCCCTGCAGAAGCTCACATACATGGAGATCAGAGCTCCCAAGCTCTCCTCACTTCCTGATTCACTCATGACACTCACCAGATTATGCAAGCTGATTCTGTCCGACTCCCAATCTCTCACACACCTCCCTGCTTCCCTCACTCAGCTGTCCTGGCTCTGTGAGCTAAGGGTCCACCACGGCTCCATCACTTCTCTTCCTTCCAACTTCTCGCGGCTCAGCAGGCTGCAGATCCTGGATTTGGAGGATTGTAAACAGCTAGAGGCACTCCCTGAAGATCTAGGAGAGCTGAAGCTGCTGGTGATTTTGAATGCTCATGGCTGCGACAAGTTGCACGACGATGAAGGGCCAACTTACTTCGCCTGCCTGAGGGGTGCGATTCGTACCGTTGGAGGTTCTAGTGATTGCTTGTAGTGCCTGTAAAGTATTACACAACTTAGTCATTGTGGGTTTGTGCTAGTTCTGTGTTGAAAAAATATACTAGGTCCTTACATCTGTTAGGCAATTGCTAAAGCGAACCAACGTACCCTAGTAACAACTGGTTTAACTGTACCCACATCTTGTCTATTCTTTATGGACAGATACACCATAACACCTCCCAACTATCATGTATTAACTGTTTTTCAATACACTAGTGAACAATAGAAATCTGGTACATTCAACAGCAAACATACGGCATTGAGCTGGCGTTGGCCTTGTACTGGGAACAATATACATTCATGTTACACCCTTCACACAGTCAGCAGCTCTCTTGCACCCTCAAGCTGCCTTGAAACAGAGCCTCTGCATCCCTTTCTTGCATATCCGACGCGCACACGCCCTTGTCTTGACCTTCACCACCCGTGACATCAACTGCAGGTGCACCTTCCCCTGAACCACTTTCCAAACCTGCGCCAGATGCTGGTTCCGAGGCTACATCCATCTCAGTCCGGCCCACAGCTGCAGCCTCAGCTGCTGCTACCTCTGTAGCCTCTGCACCCTCTGTGGCTTTTGTGCTCCCTGCACCACTCACTACTTCCAGATTTCCTGCTCCATCCCCGGCACTTAAACCAGCCACTGCCTCGGTAACAGCTGCGTCAGTGACTGCTTCATCTCTTGCTTCCACTGCTGCGGCATCAACTGATTCAGCCGGAACCCAAGGGGCGGGTTCCGAACCAATACCAAAGCTCCGATGCTCACCTTCCCCACCATACCCGGTCCCTCTATCTCCATCCTCCATCATCGCGTCTCCTACACACCCTGAGCCTCCCTCGTACCCCGACCCTCCCACAGGGTCCCAGTTGATGGCAAATTTGGTCACTCTGGGCTTTTCAGCCCAGATGTTGCGCGATAGCTTATCGAACACGACCTTGGGAGGGGGTTCCTGCTGCAGCTGCTCGTCTACGTACTCGTTATTGACATAGTACCCGACTTGGATAAACTTCTGGTCTCGGTACGCGCATGTGAGCAGCAGAACGGTGACTCCTAAAATTTCGCCCTCCGCAATTTTGGACACTTCGGGTGGGTCTGCCTGCAGATAAGCACGCAGTGGATAGGGACGTTTGGGAGCAATAAAAGCAGCATGGGTGGCTGTTTGAGGTGGCCCAAAGATTACTTCAGGAGGGTATGCCTGTGAGGAAGGAGGCTATGGATATCCAAGCGAGGTAGCAATGCATCAGGGGCTATTACTGAGGAGCCGAAAGAACTACTTCAAGTGGGCATGCCTGTAGTCAAGGAAACGATGATCATGGATCTGAGCTAGCAGCCAATGACAAACAGCTATGTGAAAAGCAAAAATACTGCATATAACGAGGAGGCTTACTTCGAGGATGAACCGGAAGCTGCCGACGTTGACTGGGCCAACCAAAACGCTCTCCAGCACCTGATCATAGGCGGGGTCGTTGGCCGATCCCACATACACGATCGACCACTCCAAATCTGAAGAGACAGGGGTGTGGCAAGGGGTTGAGTGCGATAGCACGAGGTGGTTCCACGTTGGTGACCATGACGCTCTCTAGCACGTGGTCGTACGCAAGGTCGTTGGCCGATCCCACATACCCGATCGACTCAGAGTCTGCCAAGCTGTGGGAAGGTGGATGCGATGGGAATGAGGCAAAAACGACGCTCGACGAATGCAACGCTTAACCGGATCGAACATGATGTTCTCAGAACCTGCTCGTAATGAAGGAAGTCCGGGTACGGGCCTACATGCGGACTTCCGTACTTCGAGGTTCATGCTTCCGTACCATTCACCATTCACAGCACCCTGGCGGCGCACGTACCGTCCTCCAACGGTCGGATGCAGTCGTAGGAGATCTCGAGGCGGAGCGGCGAGAGGAACGGCCCGGGGTTGTCGAGCACCTTCACTTGCGTGATGGTCACGGCGCTCATGACTGCGATGTACCGGGTGCCTCGACTGCGATATACGCGCTATGTGCAATACGCGTTATGCGCGCCGCTAGAATACGCGCTATACGGCCAAGTAAATTGAGCAGGAAATTGCTTGCGTTACTGAGACGCCTGGAAACGCGTCTACGGTGCTGTAAGCAGGTCTGAAGAAAGGCGATAACTCAAGTTGAGTCACTGAGATTTGCTGGATATGAAGAACCAGGATGGAGACGCAAGCGGCACCGAGCGGATTCGGACTGAGTGCGAGGCTAGGAAGAGTATGGAGGAGCAATAGATACCGAGGAGCGTCAAGATAATAGGGGGTGATGTGAAGAGTTAATTGCTTGCTTCTTCAATCACCAATTCAAGCACCACGTTTCAGTCAGTTCGAAATTTCAAATCGTCATACGCGCTACAGAATCCAAGCAGGAGATTGCAAGCGCCGATTGTAATTTTGGTGAATATCTTGAAGTTCCGAAAATACGAATGTTCACCAACATTCGGATTCGCCGTTTTGCGCAATCAACCGTGTAACAAATGCAAATCGCCCTTCATTTAGTACGCGCTGTAAGATCATGCACCCACACATCCGCCTCACCCTGCTTCCTAAACCTCGTCGTCTCATACTTTACCCCTGCCGAATCGCTGTCTCCTAATTTCAACGAGCACCGTTTTTTTCTTCTGACATTTACGCTCGATATCGCAGTTCCTTGGTTGGTTGCCGCTTCAGTATACGTAAATCACAGCGAGGCACTCACAGCAGCGCACCGTACCTTCGAGTTGATCCGAGAGCGACCTTAACCGACAGCCACGGGAGACAGACTGGTAGGAAGTTGAGGCAATCACAGCAGCGTGCCGTACCTGCTCCAACAACCGCGGAAACATTCGACGGCCAAAGGAGCATTTGACGGTCAGGGGAATAGCGACGTGATCTAAAGATTCGTTTTGAGACGTCTCAAGGCAGCAGCCATGTTTAAAGCTTCGAGGGCGACGACGAGGAAGGGGAAGCTCGTTCTAGATTCTCGCGCGCCCAAGATAGTACGTTCCTTAAGTTGCGGTTCCTAATTCCGTTCTTAACTGCCGCTCATGGATTGGCGCCCCTTAATGCCGCTACTTAATAATATCGTTCCGTTTTTTAGTATTATTGAGTCTGAAATAGTGCGCTCTGTACATATTTCATATTCCCTTGACCCAATGTTGTTTGGTCTTCGATTTCCATCTTGGCGATACGTTTTTTGCCCGAGTTAACGCAATAGCCGCACGTGCGATTCGTGTGCGTCCCAACATAAACCCTCTCCTCTCCCCCCCGTCCCGCTCTCTCTCTCTCTCTCTCTCTCTCTCTCTCTCTCTCTCTCTCTCTCTCTCTCTCTCTCTCTCTCTCTCTCTCTCTCTCTCTCTCTCTCTCTCTCTCTCTCGTTCCCCCTCTTCCTTCCCTTCCCCCTTCCCTCCCCATCCCCCTCCCTTTCCCCCTCCCCTTCCTTCCTTCCCTCCCCACCCCTCCCAAACCCCCGTCTCCCTTCACCAGAAAGAGAACGTCCGGCAGGCATTGCTGTTGCGCGGCACTAGGTCCAGTGCGATCCTGAACGGTGTAATGTCAGACGTGCATCATCTGAAGCGGTTCAGCGGGGGCTCGTTGAAGCTCTCGCGCGCTAACGAGCACGTGCGGCCCTTCGAGGCGGGCGGCGAGGCGCCGTTAGAGCAGCTGGCGAAGAAAACAGACAGCAGCTTGTTCATGGTGCGGGGTGAGAGGTCAGGGTTGAGGGTTTAAGGCAGGGTTTGGAATCTTAGAGGGATGGTGAAATTTGAGGGTTTAAGCCAAAGTGACTTTTGCGTCAACCAAGCGGCAAGGGCGAAGAAAACAGACAGCAGCCTGTTCGTTGTGACACTCAAGAATTGCGGTGTAGGGCTTTTCTGGTTTTCATAAGGTTGTTAATAGTAATGGCCGATGGTCTGAACCGAGAGGTGCGGGTAACGTGCCCCAACACCATCTTCCCTCTATTACTTCCCATTCACTCCCTCCCTCCGTCCCTCTCCCTCCCTCCCCCCTCTTCCTCCCCCCCTCTCCCTCGTGCCGATCCTGTCTCAGTTCGCCTCCCATTCCAAGAAGCGCCCCCACAATCTGGTGATCGGGCGAATGTACGACTACCACCTGTACGACATGCTCGAGGTGGGGGTCACGCGCCACGTCAGCATCCAACAGCTCAAAGGAGGCGGGAAGCTTTCCCCGCAGGTGGGTTTCAAAGAAAGGGGGGTGAGTATGGAAATGGGGAGAGGGGAAGGGGAGGGATTAGGGAGTAAAGGGTTGATGCTTGAAGCGCTTCAATAGTTGAGGAGAAGGAGCTTGCTGAAACGATTCCTTTCCCTCCTTTACATTCCCTCAGCTTCCCCCCTTCCCCTTCTCCCCCTTTCCTCCCTTTCCCCCTTCCCCCCTTCCCCCCAACAGCCTTTCCTCCCCTTCCCCCATTTCCCCCTTTCCCCCCTTCCCCCCTTCCCCCCTTCCCCCTTTTCCCCCATTCACCCTTTCCAATTCCCCATTCCCCCCTTACTTCGTTCCCCCCTTTCCCCCCTTTTCCCCCCTTTCCTCCTTTTTCCCTCCTTTCCCCTCTTTCCCCCTTTTCCCCCCTTTCCCCCCTATCCCTCCTTTCCCCTCTTCCCCTCTTTCCCCCCCTTCCCTCCGTCCCGTTTCCCCTGTTCCCCCTTTCCCCGCTTCCCCCTTTTCCCCATTCACCCCCTTCCCCCCTCCCCTCCGCTTTTTGCCTTCCACCCTTCCTCCCGTTCTCCCTCACCCCAGGTGGGCTCAAAGCCGTGCTTTTGTTTCATTGGAACCGAGTTCGACAATGACCCAGCAGCAGTGCAGCTCAAGAGCCTCTTGCTGGACTATTTCCGAGGGGAGGTGGGTGGGTCCGGCTGCTTGGCAGTCTGGCTGCTTGGCAGTCTGGCTGCTTGGCTGTCTGCCTGTCTGCCTATTTTGAGACATCTCATAACTTCCTTCACAGTTGTTCGCACCTCTTGAAGTGCTTAAAATCTTTTAAACTTTCAGGCGCCCCAAACATCATTCCGATTCCATGTCCCTGTTCCCCTGTCACCCATTCTGTTACATGCATGTGCCATCCCTCCCCCTCTTTCCGCTGCCTTGTCAGGTGGCAGCAACAGTCGACCTGGCAGGCCTCGACAGAGTCTTTGTGTGCGCCGCTCAAAACGGCAAGGTCAGTAACGAGGTGTTCTGCAATTGTTTGAAATTGCGGCATGGGGATGAGATCCGCATCTGCCTCAAGCGATCAGACAATGGCACCAAGGTAAGGTGTCGCTTGCTGTATTCTCAAGTACCACCTGCCAGTGCTGCTGCTGGGTTCCATTCCAGCACTAGCCTTTCCTTCTTTTCCCACCACCTTGTCATTTCCCCAATCTCTGCTGGTCCCCCACCTTTCCTCACCCTCCCTCGCTTCCCTTAACTGCTCTTCCAACCCCTCTTCCCCTTTCTCCCCACTCCCTCCTCCCCCCTCTCCCCTCTCTCCAGGGTGTTGTTTCTCAATTGTGCCATCCGCCTCAAGCGGCGGGTGGTGCTAGCTGGTGTCACCACCACTAGTCTATTCCTCCCCATTTCTTGCCCCTTCTCCCCATTTCTTCCACCCCTCACGCTCCCCCTTTGCTTTCGCCTTTCCCCCACCCCTGTTTCCACCCCTCACGCCCCCTCTCCACGCAGGTCCTATTTCGCCACTGTGCCATCCGTTTAAAGCGCTCAGGCACTAAGGTGCCTCGCGTGGTGCTCGTGCCCATTGGACCGTCCATTGATTTTGAGATCCGACGGACGAGATTGCCTGGCGAGGAGCTGAGGAAGGAGGCGATGCGGGCAGTGAAGCTTGGGCAGGAGAAGAAGGTGAGGAGGCTGGGGGAAGGGGAGTGGTTGGAGGGAAGTGGGAACGGGGGAACATTGGAATGGGCATGGGTGCGTGGCAAGGTAAAAAAATACGGTTTTCGTAAAATAAGGCCGCTTTTTACGGTGTTTTTTTTTTTTTTTTTAGCAATAATTTTGTTAAGAACTCTGTTCACAAGAAAAAAAGGGAAAACAAGGTCAAATACATTTTTAATCATGCCAACAACCGCACACATGCAAGAAGGGGTCCGTCCACTATATCTTGCTAAATTTCAGGTTCAATTTGGTCCCATAAAGTAGCCGTTTTGTAAGTTAACACCTCCTGAAACCGTTTTGAACCGTTTTAAACTGCCATGTTTTACGGTAAAAAAAACATACAACAAAAAAAACCGGTCTTTTTTTGTTTACCCTGTGTGGGGGCATATGGACGTGGGGGATGGATGGATGGATGGATGGATGGGGCGCATGTACATTTGATCATGAGTGCAGATTTCACATTTTTTAATTGACTCAAAAAGGTCTTCACGCTGCTAGGTCGCATATGATAAAGGGCAAGGTGGGGCGCATGTGCATCTACATGCCAAAGCAGGAAGTAGTGGCGATGGTTCCTGGGGAAGCAGGAGGTGGGGTGAATGCCTCTCAACACCACCACACCCCCTTCCTTTCTGTGCCGCCCGTTATTCTCCTCCCCCCCCCCACTCTCCTCACACCCTCCGCCCCCTCCCGTGCAGATCAAGAACGTGAAGTCAGACATAATCAAGGGCAAGGTGGGGCGCATCTACATGCCGAAACAGGAGGTGGGGTCGATGTCGCTCATGAAGATGAAGGGGCTCAAGCGGGAGCGCAGGGAGGCCGCTGCCACCAGGAAGAAGGCCAAGCAGGACGCCCCGGCCAAGGGGGGCGAGGGGAGGGGGGGAGAGGCGGCAGATGGTGGTGCAGGTGCCGCTCAGGAGTAGTGGTCTGTCTTGGTTTGAGACTTCTGACAGCTGTGTTCGTTGTGGTAGTGTGTTTGGCTGGTCATATGTCGTCTAGAAGTGTGCGGGGGTGGTGGTGACTCGGGCAGGGACAGGCGGTAGATGGTGTTGGTGGTGCACAGGAGTAGGCGGTGTGGAGGAGGGGTGGTGTAGGAGAAGGCGAAGCACGACGATCCAGCCAAGGAGGGAGAAAGGGTGGATGATCGGGATGGTGGTGATGGTGCTCGAGCTGCACAAGCAGCAGGGTGAGCGGGGCGGGCACAGCTACTGGTAGATACGGAGGGAGTAGGTGGAGGGGGGAAGAGGAATTTCCTGGATGCTGCCGCTGCCACTCCCTGAGTAGCTTCCATTTCCCAATCAATGGGGCGGGGGGGGGGGGGGGGGGGGGGGGAGGAGGTTTCTCTGCCTGTGCTCTCTACATTGGTTCTTGTTTCGTTAAAGTGCCTTCAAGATATGGAAGCTTATTTTTCAAACTAACGTAGGGCCACAACACAATGCAAGCACAAACCAGTGTGATCACCTTATGTATAGTACCGGTACAATTAGTGTCAAAACATATTTTTATGTTCTTAGCTTTGCTAGGCTACAATGAGGTGCTCAGTAAAGAGTACAACCCCTGTTAGGGTTTCATATTTGTATTTCCCTGTTGCTAGTCATTCATCATTCCTGCATAGTTCTCTCGACATGGTTTCAGAGCAGGAACACGGTTATAATTTTTTTAGGGCCCACCAAATCGATCCGCTCGACCCTGCCCGAAGCGCCCTCGCGCTTCCCTGCCCTGCCCGAACAGTGCTGCGCTGTCCTGCTGCCACACGCGCTGCCTGCCCTAGCGCACTGCCCTGCTGCCACGCACATTGCCTGTCTTAGCGCGCTGCCTGCTGCACGCGCGCTACCTGCCTGCACACGCGCTGTCTGTTGCACGCGAGCTGCTTGCCCGCGCACAAGCTGCGTGCCCGCCATCGCCACCAGCATGCGAGCGCCGCCTGCCCGCGCACCTGCTGCCTGCCCGCACTGCTAAACGTGCGAGCCCCCTGCCTGCGCGCGTGCTGCCTGCCCGCGAGCGCCCCTACCGCACGCGCTGCTCTGCTGCTGCAAACGCTGCTGCTGCTGCGCAGCTGCTGCCAACCGCGCTGCTGCGCCTGAGCTTCTGCTGCCGCACGCGCTGCTGCGCCGTGCCCTGCCGAGCCGCGCCACGCCGCGCCGCCCTGCCCGAGCCGCGCCGCCCTGCCCGAGCCGCACTGCCCTGCCCCTACCGAGCCGCACAGCCCTACTGCTACTACTACTGCTGCTGCTGCTGCTGCTGCTGCTGCTGCTGCTGCTGTTGCTGTTGTTACTGCTATTGCTGGCACCACTGCTGCTGCTGCTGCTGCTCCTGCTACTATGGCCACCATCTCGGTTCTTAGCTTTGATGCGGAGGGTCGCCCGATTAGCTTTGACGTTTGGCTCGACGACAGGGCCTCAGATTCAGTTTTAGGGACCTGGGCCCCCAGGGCATGGCTCAAAAATGCGTGTCCTCCTCAGGGCAGAGCCCCTAGGGGGACCCTGATTTCTCAGGGCATGCAAGAACTAAACCCTGAAACCTCAGGGCACTTTTTGTTGCATGATGTATTCAGTGTTTGAAATGGAAACACATCCTCTGGTAGATTACTACTACTTCCATTATACACCCCCTAAACTACTACTAAACTTGAATAGAACCAGATTAGTAGTTTTCCCCATCCGAGCTAGAGCTGCTGCTGTTGCTACTGCTGCTGCTGCTCTCATCGTCTGAATCGTGGTTGTCGGGCACCTTCTCCCAACCCTTGGCCTGCTGGTGCTGCTGCTGCTGCTGCTGCAGCAGCTGCTTGTGCTGCTGGTGATCTTTCTTGTGGGTGGGTCGGCGCTTTTTGCTACTCCTCCATATCTTCACTACCTCATCCCAATCCATGTCGTATCGCAGCATGCTCAGGCACACGAGATCGCCGAGCTTTCCATTGCAGAGGCTCGTCCTGTGCCAGGTTTTGATGCTGATCTGCCTGCTGAATCCCCTTTCACACTCCACCGTACTCAGCGGCAGGACCGCCACTCCTACCCACATCTTCACGAGGTTCGGGTAGCTCCTCTCTCAGTCGCTGGTCTTGAGCATTGCCGCCAGACCATCGTGGAAGCTGCGCTCTCAACGAGGAGCTCCTTGGAGAACAGGCACCAGAGTCCTGAGCTCCTTCTTCGCCATGCGCTTGTCCACACCTGCACCCAAGATCACATGCAGGAGACACGTCAGTCAGTTGACAATAACATGCGCAGGTGATGCGCTTGCCGAAAGCATCACTCACCAGGAAGCACTTCCCTCCGCTCGCCGATGTGGAACATCTTGAATAGGGCTTCCAGGTGGGCCGCACACTCCTTGTTCCGTCCGTCCGTGTCCTTCGGCCAGCTGTCCGGCATGAAGAGCTTTGTGCCGTCCAAACTATCGAGGTCTTTGAACCTCTCCTGCAGGTGGTCCACTACCGCAACCGCATAGGAGCGGCAGGTGTTGATGCAAGTCTCCAGGTCGCCTCGCGTTTTGCTGTACCCTTTCAGCAGCTCCTCGTGCAAGTCAAAGCTATGTTTCCGCGTGCTTCCGTCACTGTCAACGCCTTCCACCTTGACGGTGCGGCTAGACGAGAGACGCTTGAGGAAGGGCGACAGGCGCTTGCTTGTCCCCGCGCCAAACTTTTACCCACAGTCGATGTAGCGCTCTTGCATGAAGATGAGTGTGCGGCGGACCAGGGACTGCACGCCAGTGAGGTCAACCTGCAGATGGACGAGGCACGCAAAATACAGCAAAGAGGAGATAGCGATTAGTTTGTTAAAGAGGGCACGGGAATCAGGACCAGCACCACTGGACCACTCACCTCGCGTCACTGAAATACAAGGTTGAGGTTGTTGAGCTCTGCTAGGACATCTGCGAGGAAGAAAAGGTACACATGGAACTTCAGCGAGGTTACGATGTGGTAGATGGCAGTGTCGTACTCCTGGAGAAGCACAATCACCGCGGGTAGGACTTGGCAAAGTCGCTCCACTGCCTGGCCTTGACTCAGCCAGCGGACATCGTGAATGCCCTGCATCTCCAGGTTCGTGTGCAAGATGTCTCCTGGAGACGCATGAAGACACCGTGCCGTGGGTGTGATTTCCCGAGTATGCCACACACCGCACGGATTATGACGTCAATCAAGCCAACATCTGGCTCCACCAACGCAGCATCCTTGGCTGCGAGAGCTTCCCTGCCACGGACAGAGGAAACCAACAGGGATATCAGTTTCATAAATCCCGATGCCTTGAGGCAGGAAAAGACAATCATTCACCGATGAGCGACACAGTGGGTGCCAACAAGATGAGGCAGGCGCTGTCGAAGCCGCGCGACCAAACCGCCGGACGATCCCAACATGACCGGTGCGCCGTCCGTCGCAATACTTGATATCTTGTTCAGGTCGAGGCCAATGGTCTCTAAGTGTGAGAGGAGCACGGAGAGGAGAGAAGCAGCATCACACTTGTCAATGGTGAGCAACGACAGGAACTCAGTAACGACCGCACGCTCTCGCATAAAAGTGATGAACACTATCATGTGCTTGCCGCGCACACGATCCGTGCTCTCATCACAAGTGATTCCGAGGAAAGGGGACTTGTCGATGTGTTCTCGCTGGCGCGCACGGAGGTATGTCGCGGTGGCAGTTGTGAGCTCCTGGAAGCCATACCTGGAACAACGCACACCACGTCGTGCTGGTTAGAAAGCAGTGGAAAACTTAAACGGCAAAAGCGTGACATTAGGACAAGAACTATGTGGTGTAGTAGGCACTGTAGCCTTTCTTTTGGAAACCAGGAGTACAGCGTTCGGCTAGATGCTTCACCAAGTCGACCCACATCTCGATCGGTGTGTTCTGTTGGCATATGAAGAGTAGGGTCACGGCCAGAGCGATCACACGCTCCTTCTCGATGTCGTACACCATGGGGCAGTTGTCCAGCAATGTCTGTCCCTTTGCCTTCCTCTTCGCGATTTCCTGCTCCTTCGAAGCACGTTTGTGCTTCCTCGTTCTCTGGTATGCTCGGAACGCTTGGGTCTGAATGTCAAATGCACCATGCCTTGCGCGTCCGAATTTTGTTTCTGTCACACCCTGAGCCACACATACAGTGCATTTCACAGAGGGAAATCCGTCAGGTTGCTGACACAAAACAAGCCACGGGAAATCACCCGACCACTCTTTCGTGTATCGGTACAGGGCGTCCTGATACTTCAGCTCTGCCTCGTCGACAAGCGGAATGGATGAATTGGAGGTGGTAGGATTGGAGGGGCGTGTGCTTGGGGACGGTGTCGTGGTTGACGCTGAAGGTCCAGCGCGAGCACGATGGAAGGTAATCTGCACTTGCCGAAAGCGCATTGTGCCGTGTCTCAGCCCTAATCTCACGCCCATCCGCCTTGCTGGTGTTGGTCGTGACGTAGACGCGGGAGGAGGCGACGCCTCGCCATCCTGCCCCGTCTCAGCGGTAGAGTAGAGCCGCGTTTCAGAAGTCGGCGCAGCCCTGGTTGATGGATCAGGCTGAGAATCAGCCTGAGCAAGAGTTGAGGCAGACGGTGGTACCGTGGGACGAAGGGCCTCTCTAATAGCGTGCTGCGTGGAAATCGCACCAGGGAGACGAGTGCGGGCCATGTTAACAATAGCGCTCACAGATCGGAGGAAGTCAAGGCCCGTAAGGCCACGACTGATGTTGTTAACAATCGGAGGTAATACATGATCTGTGTGGGTGGGAGGCGGGCTAGAGTCCGCCATGGCGATCGAGGGTTATTCAGTGCGGATTCCCAGAGCAGAGCTTACTGTTTGCAACCACTGCAGAGCAGAGCCTGCCGAGCAAAGAAGAGACATACTGAACAGATGGAAGGGCGTGGTGAACGAGGTGGCCAGGTGCCACCAACATGTACTGCACTGGCTTGAGATGGGTGGGGTGATGGGAGTTGGAAGGCGCATTGG